TTACAAATGTTGCAAAAGTGTGTATGTGTGATGTACACACACACACAATTTAGTAAATTTAAATGCAGGAAAAGCTAAGAGGCTACACACTGTAAAATACTTTTCTACATCTAAAATTCATCGCTTGCTTTATTTGGCTTACCTCATTGTCATAAGCCCATGGAGGTATGGAGAACTGCATGGCGGGCATAAAGGCAGATAGCTCCAACCATCTGATGTACAGTTCTCTGTCTGGCAGACCATTTAACCCACCTTAAACGCAGATGAAAGACTGTCAGATAAAACCAGATCATAGAAAATCTGTTTTTTTAACAGAGCTAACACTCTTAAAATGCATGCCATACCTGCAGTATGGTTCGGGTAGGCATTTCCTCCTATCATATCAGGTAAGACAAACTGGTAACCCAAAATGCCTATAGTCAGAACAGTAGGGATGATGGACTTGAGGCCGAGCTCGTAACCCCACACCGAGTCCCTGTCAATGATCCTGAAGAAGCAGGAGATGTTCTGACTCTGGTAACCAACCCTTAGCTCAGCATGCTCCATAAATGGTATAGCCATCTCTGTGTAGCGGCGGGTGAAGGTGGAAGGGTTTGACAGTGGGCCCAGGGTACTAAACTGACGGGGCAGGTAGCTCGTTTCTCCTGCATCAAACTTGAAGGAGGTCACCCCATAGCGACTTTTGAGCATGTGCAAGTTTGAGGAATACCATTCACGAGCGTCTGGGTTTGTGAAGTCCAAGATTCCTCCAATCCCGTTCCACCAGCGAACCAGAGCGGGCAGTTCACCGCCTGGCTCACGGACAAATAGCTCTTTCTCCACAGCTGCACCAAAATTTATGGAGTCATAGTTGATAAAAGGGTGCGTCCAGAGTGTAACTTGAAAGCCGCCCTCTCTTAGTTTGTCAAACATGCCGCTTGCATTGGGGAACTTCTGCGGGTCAAAGTCAAACTCTCCGTAATCTGCTGTGTAGCGGTCATCCAGCTCCAGATGGGAGCAGTTGAAGCCATGCCTAGTAATGTCAGCGGCATAGCGCAGCAGCTTCTCCTGAGTTACAGCGGTCTTGTAGATAGCCCATGTGGACCACACTGGTTTTTTGAACAAATCAGCAGATGGGACTTTTATAGGCTTTGTGAAATACCGGCGCACCTGAGAAAAGAACATGAATGATTAGGGGGGAAAAGAAAAGAAAAGAACATGAAGTAAGTGATTTGAGATGTTTTTAAATGTGTGGTTATTGTCTTTCATTCAAGCCTGCACAGGCTTTGTGCTTGATTAAACAAGTGTAAGGAAATATGCCTACTGGCATCCTTACAATAACCAGATAAATTAGCTTGGGGGTTGCTTGGTCCCTTACAGCTTGAGAATTTCAGCTTTCCGTGTCAAGAAATAACCAACTACATAAGCCAATTTTTAGACTTTTTCTAAAGATTTTACAAACACACTATAAGATTATAATATTGATATCCTCATTAAGAAAGCATTTACAATTGGGGAAATCATTATTAATTCATAAGTTTGCTCTCTTACAAAGAAAAAACCTGAAAAAAAATCACTGCATAAAAGTTATAAATTGATTTGCAGGTTACAGAGTGAAATAAGTACTTAATACCCAAGAAAAATATGACTTAGTATTTGGAGGAGAAACCCTCCAAAGCACTGTCATGTCATCATTCACCAGGTTTGCACACATCTCAGGAGGGATTTTGGCCCACTCATCTTTACAGAAACACTCTTAATATTTTAGGTTTCTTGGCCTTCACTTGGCAATTCGAAGCTTCAGCTCCGTCCACAAATTTTTTAATAGAATTAAAGTCTAAGACTGGCCACGCCGAATCTTGACGTTTTGTACTTCTTTCGCCACACTATCTTTATCTTGATGCTATGTTGGAAGACCCATCCACAACCCATACGAAGTATCCTGGCTGAGGGAAGTAGGTTCTCATCCAAGATTTTACAGTACATGGCCCTATCCATTGGCCCCTCAATGTGATGGAGTTGTCCTATATTCTCAGAAGAAAAACAGCCTCATAGCATAATCTTTCCACCTCCATGCTTCACGTAGGGAATGCTACTCTTTGGGTCATACCCAGTATCTCTCTTCCTCCAAACCCAGACATGTAAAGTTGATGCCAGAGAGCTTGATTTTAGTTTCATCTGACCACTGTGCATTCGCCCAGGCCTTCTCTCAATCATTTAGATGTTCACTTACAAAACTTGAGATGATCCTGTACATTTGCGTTCTTGACCAGGTGACCTTGCGGGCGCTTCAAGATTTCAATCCATTATAGCATAGTGTGTTGCCAGTGGTGACAGATCACAGCTTTGAGGTGATCCATCACCTCTCTTATGATAGTCCTCGCCCATGAGGCAAAATCTCCATGCTGAGGACATTGATGGTCATTTTATACTTTTTCCAATTGCACCAACAGTTGTAAACTTCTCCCCAAGCTTCCTACTGTAACTTATACCAGCCTTTCGTAGGTCAACAATCTTTGAAAGCCTTTGAGAACTCTTTGGTCTCGCCCATGGTGGTGGACAGGTTGGAAGAGAAGAAATTGATTCTGTGGACAGGTGTGCTTTATACACATAGTGAGTTGAGATCGGGAGTATCTGTAACTGTGACTTCAGGCTGGGTTGTAGGAGATTAAATACCTTTTTCACTCAATGACAAGCAAATCAATTTAGTCTGTAAATTTGATGTAATGTCCTTTTTCTGGGGTTTTGATTGATATTCTTTCTCTCTCCATTAAAAATGAACTACAATAAAAATTAGAGGATTTCCATTTCTTTGGAAGTGAACAGACACTTAAATTCAACAGTAAATCAAAGAGTCATTTCCCCAACCTAAGTATATTTTCTGGAATGTTAAAGATTAAACCTGCTCTGCAGGGGAACAAAGAATTAATGGCAGTAGTATTAAATTAAAAATGCATATGCAGGATGGGACAAGTGTTTCTGGTCCAGTTATTTGTTGTACATCTGAGTATATATCCACTACACTTTAAATTGGCAGCTTTTAACATTATTAAATATTTGTCAAATATCCAGCATAATTACACTCACCATGTACTTGTGAATAGAGGTGACATCTGACCCCACACAGACTCTATAACTGAGTTCAGGAAAGGTCTGCTGTCTTTCTAGTGGTCTGAAGGGAGAGTCCTGGTACCGGGCCTGGAACCTCAGTGTCCTGTTCTTCTCTGACCAGCCCAAATGAAACGGTACTGAGTCGTTAATCTTAATGGCAGTTGCATTTGATGACAGCCAGTACCGCTCTAGAATTCCTCCAAAAGCATTTCGATTGGAGTAGACGTCACTTGCGATGAAAGGTTGTGGTTCCTCTTCTCCCTGAAATCTGATAGGCCAGTACTGTGTTGCCGTCTCTGCCCCTCCATACCAATGAGAGTCATTATAGGCCATGACATGCTCTACCAAGTGCTTATTCTGCAGCTCCTCCCAGCGAACCCGATAACAGATCACCGTGTCCTTTGGACGAACTGTTTGGATAAAAAAGTTGAGCTTGCCAGAATCCGACTGAGTGCAGCTCAGAATATCTCCCTCCTTTGAGCAAGAGTCCACATCCAGAGTACCAGACCTAAGATTAGGTGTTTAAAAGAAAGAAAACAAAGGGGCCAGTTAAACACAGTTGATATTATTTGTGTTTTAAAACAAATTAGTAGTAGTGCAACAACAAAGAAAATGTTGTAAGTTCTATTCCGTTGTTCTAGTTGTCTGTAGAGTGATTGTTCTATAGCTATTTCTGTCGGTATGAACTCTGCTGGCAAAGGACACATCTATTACAGTCTTCCCTAAGGGTGTAATCATGTGTCTGTCTCGTCTGATTTTTCATCATCCATCCAAACACTGCAGACAGGCAGACTTAAAGCAGATACAAAGAAGAAGAACTCTGTCAAGACCAACAGAAGTTACAAAGGCAATGAGTCCACGATTTGCTGGGACTTAGTTTCACAAGAGAAGTGTTTGTGGAGTGTCTTGATTTGGATTGCACAGACATTCCTTTGGTCCTTATCTCAGCTGTAAGATAAAATTATAACTAGTCATATTTATTACCCTTATAAGTAGCAGAGTTATTTTAGTTTTGTATTTTCTAATTCTAATTTCAAATTTTGTAATTCATCTTTTATTGTTTAAAAATGTTTAGCTTTAGTTTTTATTAGTTTTAGTCTTTTAAATAGTGACTGAATGTAGGGCATATGCAAAAGGCACAAATTTAAAAAAAAAAATCTGTAAAGGCGTAATAACAAATTTTAGCAAATTAAAATGCCAAAACTTATTTTAACTTTTAGTTAGTTTTCCAAGTTCATAAAATCAGTTTAATTACAGTTTTTTTAAAGTGTAGTATTTATTTCTATTTTATTTAACAAGGTCAGTTTTAGGTTTTGCTTTAGTTTTAGTTCATTAAAATAACCATGACTAGTAGGCAATCAGGCAATTCAAATAATTAAATTATTAATCAAAATGTATCTTGTTAAAGGAAACAAAAACGCAGATGATTCTCTGTACAGTTTCCTAAGCATTAAAAGCATAGACAACAAGTCCAAAAAAGACAAAAAATTTAAAAATAATCAATAATATGAACCCACCTGAATGCCATAGTGAAGACAACAGCCCCAGCTTGGTTGTGAATAATAAAACCATCCTTGTTCAGGTCTAACAACGCTATCTTGAACAACTGGGTTTTACGAAGCGACACTGAGTAATAGCACCAGGCGACCACAGCAGCTAGCACCAGCACACAGCCCAACATACTTGCCATCACCAGTGGCCGACCTTCATGAGAAAGTTTCTTCTTAAGTGGGGAGCCTCCGGGTCCCCCAGCCATCTGCTGCTCCCCAGGAGCCACCGGCACTATTTGATACATGCTGAAGGCGTGCGGGTTGGAAGAAGAGTGGCAGGAATGGACAGCTGTACTTAACTTGCTGTCAGAGCTTTTGAAACAGAAATATAAATCTGTGCACTGGCAGCTGTGGGAGTTAAGGGAAAACTGATGTCTACCTGCCAATCTTTAGGAATGTCTCCATTTCTGAAAAAGGGCTGATATATCTGCTCCTGTGAGGCAGACAGACAGATGTTAGTTTAAACCACAACAAGTGTAAAAGAAACCCAAAAAAACAATAGAAATAAAACACCATTAATATCATCATCACATCAAATAATGAATGGAAGCTAAATCAAGTTAAAGTGCTAAAAGAATAACAAGTAAATGAGTACATGACATGAATATTGACCAATCTACCGCAGACTTCATCACACTGGCTACCTATCTATCTATCTATCCAATTATCACTGCTGATGTTAGCTTAAAAGCGCTGCAGACAGGAAAAAAAACAAAAATGTCTTAGTGATACATTAAAAATATTAGTTCATGCTGCAAAGGCATAATTTTCACACCAATCAAACCGTCTTAGTGACCTGATTTTGCCTCATGGATGGGGGCAATATCATTATGGAAGAACTCACTGCAATCAGGATTTAAATTTAGATGCAATAACACTTCCCTCACAGAGACAAGTACACAAAAAACATGCCATCAAAATAATACCTCCCAAAGAACAACAACATTTAGAAATATGTGCAATAAAGAATTCAAAAGCACAATAGTCGTCTTTCAGGGTTTTAGAAATCACATCTGGATGCAGTCACAACCAATCAGCAGCATAGTTACAGGCTAAAGATGACAATTTTGAGCATAAGGGGTTACTGTTTTACCTTGAATTGTCTGTCACTGAACACTGTTTTTGTGTAGCATTACTGTATTGGCCCTGTACTGTCTCTACACTTGCTTTTATTATTATAGCATAGTTCAACAGCATCCAGCAGAGAGAGAGCGAGAGAGAGCACTGGGCTTTTAATCTGGTAAATGGCAGGTATCCAGGCTCTGCACAGGCACTCATGGTGAGAGAGCTAGCAAAACTGTAAAAACAGGCTGTGATCAGAGGAAGCGCAGACACCAAGTCAGCAGGATTCAATTACATTTACCTCAGGTAAGAGCACCTTTGGGATGAGTAAATAATAGCCCTCAAACAGCTGTAGTGCAGCAAGCCCACAGTTTTCAGATTGATAAGAATGCAGTCATCACCAGCAGAACCATACTTAACTTCCCCACAGGTAAACATTATCCTTCAGCTCCACATCCTTCTTTTATTGTGATGCTATTTAATGCCAGTATCGCAAGGAGGAACCGAAATCTTGCAAAAATCTTGCAGACACAGGGAAACATTTTCCTCTATATGTCAGCTTTCGCTCCAGTGAAGATCCTGTTCCTCATTTCTATGTAATTACTGACAAAACTGTACCATTGCTCAAATGTAGAATTAAGTTGAGAAAGCTCAACTTGGGATCCATTATAAATCAATTTATTCTATTAAGGGAACTTAACAATGAAGGCAGACCAGTCTTAAAATGTTAGAGATAATCAGTGCTTTTTCAGAAACCTAGCAATTAGTCTTGAAACTGTGGGCTGAAATCATATTAATCTTTAATGGCTATCGGAATGAAACGTATAACATTTTAAATTAGGCCACAGGGCCCGGTGCAGTACAACAGGCTCCATACTGCAGGTTATGCAGGGGTTTCTAAAAACATGCACATTAACTACACAGTGACTACGAACTGTTCAAGGCAAATACCTAAATTACAACAAACACTGAAAACGTCGTCATCTGACTTTCTGAAAGGATCCCAGTGGACACAGACGCCGTCCAACGACGTGTATGTTTACGTTATCTATCCACGCCCGTGTCAAGCTGGCGTGTAACCAACTAATCAAACACTTCCGATATCTGATCGATCCCCAACAAACACTCACTCGACTCGGCCGTTGACGCCGAGTTGGGATATTGCCGTAACAGTAACTCGCTCTACCAGTATTCACGAACTGATTCAGAAGACCGTGCTCACAATTAAAAGCTATACTCGCCATGACAGTAACACGCAAAAAAACGTTGTGTCACATACAAAACATTTTAACTGCTCTTAATAAAGCTGCGACCACAAAAATACATTCACCTTACCTCCACATCTGACCACACTCCGGGGTCAACGTCTGTGCGCGCGGAAGCCTGCGGTGCAGCGACAGAGGCGTAGTCCCACCCAAACGGAGCGAATGCGAAGCTGGTTTGTCCATCGATCTGTCATTCGTGTACAAGTTAGCGCGGAAGGATTCTGGGAAATGTAGTGTGAGAACAATATCGTCACAGAGCCAAAAAACAGCTTCAAATTTGTTTATTGCTGGCTGCGAACAATGTGAAACGCACAAGAGAAAGGCAAAATGAAGGGGTTATTTTGACTATCGTTAACGTTACTTTTAAATTTTTATATTTTCCTTACCAAATCGTTGGTGCTAGCGTTGTCCGTGGAAACAATTCAAATCTCAAACGTTTCATTCAACTTGTAGTGAATGTGTGTGAGGATTGGGGGGGGTGTTATTGTTATTATTAGTATTTTGTTTTTTTTTTTTTTTTTCGATGGTTGTTTGTAACCACAGATTACCGTCTTCGACCCTGTGACAACAACAACTGGAGTACACTGCCTCACTTCCCGACCAGACCACAGAGGTGAGATCATCGAGAGCGAATAATGTTATTGTGGCTGTAAGAGGTTTTCTACCGCTGGGTGACAGCAACAAGCTATGAATAACAGGGCAGCTGAACGACACGACCATGGCGAAGTAGTCGACTCTTGTCTTATTTTTATATCCGTGAGTTCTTTGATGTTCTAAATGTTTTTAAGTTTACTATGAACTGAGAACTAGAGATGTAGACATATATTTTATTTAATACCACACTGGCGAAATTCTGTCGTTACAGCAGCGCAAGGGACAGGGAAAAAAAGAAAAATAGAAAAACATAAATGAGAAAAATTGTCTACAAAAAAGCTAAAATATTATATTTGGTCAAATAAAACAAAATTTTCCTTTTTTTTATATGTACATGAAGTTCAGTTGGAATAATAATATTATTGTATAGCCTGACTGCTGTACCACCAGTGTGAAAATCTACTAGATTACTATTTGACTAGTAGGCTAGCTAAAGTAAAATGTTTATAAAGAAGTAGCAGAGGTAAAATTTAACTCTGATTTATTTAAATGTTGACCTGCCTCTGAAATCCAAACAATTAGGAGACACAGAGTAACAGACACAAAGGAATGGTTGCTTTAAGGGAGAAGGCAAAGATAAAACTCAAAACAACCCTTGACTTTATTTCCAGGCAGAGGTCATAGACAGTAAACTCTAAGCAAGACCAAATTTTATACACAAAACAGGAAAAAAAAGGCAGTTGAAACTGACACCATGAAAAAAACCCAACAGAAATCTCAAACCATTTCTATGTAACTACAATTTTGTAAGAGAATTGTGAAATTTAAGTATTGTGAAATTTAAGTATTCAGTCATTGATTCCTTATTTCCTGCATATTCCCTGGAGAAAATCAAATGATATTAATAATAAAGAATAGAGAAGGTACTAGGCAGAGGCTTAAAAATATATGCATCTCCTGTGAGTCATCTGCACTGGCAAGACAATTCACCATCTAGGGATGTAGTTTAGCACAGCAGGGCAAGGTCAGACAAGACGGCACTTGAATTTTTCTATTTAAGAAAGAAAATGCAGCTTCCCTACACCCAGTCAGAAGGATCCAGCCCAGTGTATGACCTTCAAAACAGCCCACACAATGAAAATGGAGCTTGTCTGTTAAGTGGTTAGAAGTCAAGTGACTTTAAAGGTGACTCTTAATGTAATGTACAGCTTAGTAAGGCTGTGGTTAACCTGAAACAATTTGAATTAAAATTATTTATTTTGCAAGTTATTCTTTGTTTAATGGATATTTCTTTTCACAGTCATGTGAATAGAAAAGAATTGTAGGCATTCCTGTGGAAAAGCGAAGTGCATGTTACTGCTTCCTTAGGAATTAAGAGGTTAAGTAACACTTGATTAATTGAGCAGCAGGAAGTGGGAGCACCTCTAAGGAAGCAGAATGTTTAGCAGTTTGGAGCATTCAGATACGTAACACAATGCTTCAACCTTCATAGGATTGGACACCGAAGCAAGAGAAACTCAGAGAAACTACAAAGAGCTCAAGGGCTAAATGTCAGACTGTAGCATGTTAAATGTTAGAGTTCATGGCAGCACAATTAGAAGAAGACTGAACAAGGTGACTTCTGTAGAAGGGTTGCCAGGTGAAAGCCCCATCTCTAAAAAGAATATGGGAGCACACAGCATGTCCAAAGACAAATAACACCAAAATGGAGATGTTTGGCCATAATGCACTGCGCCATGTTTAATGAAAACCAAAACACGACATATCAGCACAAGCACCTCGTACCAGCTACCAAGAATGGCGAAGGAGGGGTATCAAAGGTATCCCCTTGGAATGGTTTAGGTCGTACCTCTCCAAGAGGACTTTTTCTGTGAGCCTTGATGATTTTATTTCTTCCCCAGCTCCTTTTACTTGTGGTGTCCCGCAGGGATCCGTATTAGGCCCAATTCTTTTTTCAATCTATATGTTGCCCCCTAGGCCTAATCTTTAGGAAACATAACATCTGCTTTCACTCATATGCCGATGACACCAGATTTATCTTCGGTTTAATAAAAACACCTCTACGCCCATGGAATCGTTAGTCAAATGTCTCGGCGAAGTTAAAACCTGGATGGCCTCAAACTTTCTTACCTTCAACGAGGATAAAACAGAGGTAATTATTTTTGGACCAAGCTGTAATTTCAATGCCCCAGATTTGGACTTATGTAACCTAACATGTGCTGTTAAAACGCATGTAAAAAACCTGGGGGTTCTCTTGGATAGCAAACTTACATTTGAGAAACAAATTAATTCATCCAATGCATTTTAGAATTAAATTCAAAATCTTACTTTTAACTTATAAAGTGCTAAATGGCCAGGCACCGGACTATTTGTCTGACCTTGTGCAGCTGTATACGCCCTCTAGAGCCCTTCGATCAAGTGATCACCTACTCCTTACTTTACATAAGTCTAGGATGGTTCATAGAGGAGATCGGGCATTTGTAGTTGTGGCACCGAAAATGTGGAACGATCTACCTCTCCACATTAGAAAGGCCCCAACTGTTACTCTTTTTAAATCGCATCTTAAAACATATTTTTTTACTCTGGCTTTCGAAACTGTAGGAGCGTTACCAATTCTTTTATCCTAATCTGTTTTTAATTATCAGTTGTTGTTAATGTCACTGTTTAATTGTTATGTTGTACAGCACTTTGGTCAACGCCCTGTTGTTATAAAATGTGCTTTATAAATGAATAAATGAAATGAAATGATGTATGGCTGTTTTGCCCTGGGCACCTTACAGTCATTTAGTCAAGTATGAACTCCTCTGTATACCAAAGTATTCTAGAGTCATCTGTCCGATAGCTAAAGCTTGCCCAAAACTGGGTCATGCAAAAGGACAATGATCCCAAGCACAGCAGAAAATCTCCAACAGAAGGGCTGAAAAAGAATCAAGGTTTTCATTTTTTGTGCTTTATTTTTTTAAAAGCTAGGACAAGACATGGACTCCAAATTGGTACCTTACCACAGTTCCACTTAATTGTGTGTGGTGATCGTGCTCAGCTCCGTTCAGTCTAGGATCCAGCATTTATAACAGAGGGACAAAAAAAGATATAGACTATTGCAAGGTGTTGCAATGACATGCAAAGTCCAGACTGAAATGCTTAAAAGAGCTTAAAAGAGCTAACAAATGCCCACAAACCTCAATGAAAGCACTGTTGTAAAGAAGCGTGGGACAAAAATTCCTCCACAATGATTTGAGAGGCAGAAAAAGTCATACAGAAAACAAATACTTCAAGTTATTGTTGAGGTGGTTCTACAAGCTATTGACTCATGGGGTATACTTAGTTTCCCACAGGACTGGATAGTTTCACGTGAAATCTTTCTTTTTCATATGACTGTATGTGTGATGATGCTGATATTCTTTGTCTTACTATGCTAAATCTCTTTGGCTTTGATTGTTAGTCGGGGTTTTAGTGAAGCTGGAAGGTGCTTTTCACAGTTTTATTTTAAACTGATTAATCTAATGAATAATTGGCCAGGCGATCAACAAAAATTATTTTAATTTCTCATATTATTAAGGACATATTCATCAATTTATTTTTCTTTTAAAGAAATAGCCAGAATGGTTCAAACACTATGCCAAATCATGGTTAAAGGAAAACAGCAGAAAATGTGATAGGAGTAATAGTATGACAGCAGCAGTAATTGTAAAAGTACCATTTCAATAAGAGCAACAGATGAAATGGTGATGACAGGGACAATGATGTTTGGCAGCTGTGTTTCAGAAGCTTTCACTGGAGCCAAAGTGACTCATTCTGCAGAGGAAAACTCAGCTGCAGAGGGAAGATGCCATTGATGCTGGTGTCCCTGCTCTGCTGTGTCACTGCAGCCAGGGCCTGTCTGCAGTGCGACCGCAGCATCCGAATGATGCACGAGGACTTCATCTTGTCTGCTCCCACTCTGCAAGACCAGCTCGACTTGCAAAGTATTTGTGACCAAGCCTATGTGACCTACATAGAGACCAGTCAGGAACGAAAGGGGGTCATTGGTGAGATCAGGAAACTGTTATATTGTAGTTCTTCTCTTCTGATAATGTCAGGCCAAAGATATAAATTTATAAATACTTATAAATAAACTAAAATATAAGTGTAAGGCAGTTAAAATGATCAAAATAAACCAAATAGCACTGTTTTTTTGCTTAGATCCCACTACTCTATACAGAGCCAAAACTGAATACCAGAGTGAATTTGATCGCTTCTTGAAAACCAAGCTCACTGGTGAGAAACAAAAAAACAATCTATCATTCTTATTCTTTCCACTCAGAAATAAACAGTAGCTGTAAACGCACCCAAACACTCCAACATGTAGAAGGCCATTATTACTTTTCATTATATCATCACTGAAAGTATTAACATGTTAAAATGTCTTTTAAGGATCTATAACATTTGAAGCTGTTCAGATCATGGAGAAAGGCAGGAAGATTTTAGAGAAACATCTGGATGCTTTCGTCCCCAGTGGTAATTTGCATAACAGTCGGGGTTCTGCAAAGTATGAGGCAATAAACTTTTTGTAAGTCATCGCTGTGAAAAACATGCATTAGTTTCAGATCATTTATTATCTTTTTTTTCTTTCCCTCAGAATTATGCCCCAACATATGTGGTAAGTACTGAGACTGTGACAAATGATCTTTTAAGAGTGACTCATACAGATTTTTCCAGTGACAGTGGACCGTAAAACTTTGATCGAGAGACGTGAGACAACTGTAAAATGTTTTTTGCTGTCATTTGACAAACCAATGACTTTTCATTTATTTATTTATTTTGGTGTTTGATTTGCATACTTTCCAGAAAAATGTGTGGTCTCATAGGGATCAGTACCAGGACCAATTTAATGTTCAGTATATGTAGGCTAGAAAGGTTAGCACCATCGCTTGAAAGTCCCGAGTTTTAGTCCATCAGGGAGTTTGGGACTTTCTGTGTGGAGTTAACATGTTCTTCCTGTGCTTTTGGAAGTTCCCTCTGGGACTCCGCCTTCCCGCTACAGTCCAAAGACATGCATGTTAGATTAACTGGTGATTCTTCATTGACTGTAGGTGTAAATGTGAGCATGAATGGTTGTTCATCTTTGGGTTAGCCCTGTGACAACCAGACAACCTCTCCCAGAAATACCCAACTCTCACTCAATGACAGCTGGGATCGACTCCAGAAGACTGCAAAAAAAAATTACAAAAGCGAATATCAGCAAACTTCATAAAATCAAACTCATACAAATCATTTATTGGTCATTTTGAGATCATATGACCTGCTCCCACAGTCTGGGGACTAATCCTATAGCATACAATTACTATTGTTTATTAATGGCACGAAATGGCATGAAAAGTAAGTAAGGTGTGTGTGTGGGGGGGTGCTCACTATTTCCATCTCACTCTGGGGGGCTGTTAGGTCTCTAGTTATGTCCCCCCCACTTTCCATTACAATAAAGTATTTTGAACTGATTTCAAACACTTGTAATGGAAAGTGTTTCTAAGTGTTTTCATTTCTGTTTTCCTACTGGCTTTATTTTTATTTTTATCAGGTTTCCCTGCCTTTTTTTTCCTGATGTTAAACTTCAGTCTTCCACCCTTTATACTTTTCAAATATCCTTTTTCTATTTTGTACTTGTTGTTATCTGCTGTTTTAGGTAATCCGTACTGTAGTTTTGCCTATGTGTCTATTCTGTAATGTGTGTTATGTGTTTGTTGTAAATAAGTTTCTAAAACCCCTTTTACATAAGTGCAATATATATTAACTGTATTATGCATGATTTTTTTTTCTCTGTGTTGCTATACATCATTTTATATCCATGTAGTATTTATTTTAGAGGGTGTGTTTGTGTGTCATTATCAGGGCTTCTAATTAGAAGAGTAATGGATTGCGTCTCTTGCCGCTACAAAGTATACATCTGTCCCTCTCCGACTGGACAACAGGACTGTGGTGGTATATTTTAATTTATTTGTTCTCGTGTTAATGCATGAGTGGATTAGGAGGAGTCATTCCTATGTGTTGGGACTGCACCGTTCTTTAGAGTGCAAAGATATATGATGTCACGAGTGTATAAATGTGTGCTTACGCGAGTGACTGCTGCTGCCTGTCCATGTGAGACACTAATGAAAAAGATTATTCAAGTAATCCTGATTCAGACAAATGGAGGATCCCACTTTCTCCCTCCTCTCAACCTTTGTCCAGAGTATCCGGTGCAGGCTGAGGAAGGAGGCCAGGCTTTGTTGAATTGTTTTCTTCCGTGGCACCGTCTTCTATTGGGTAGACCGGAGTACCACTACTCCTGGGTGCCAGGAGCATCAGAGACTGATAAGGTCTCATTGACATCACTGATGACAAATGAAGGCACAAACATTAAGACACCTAAATACTTCAATATAGATACATTTTGAAGTATCTGCATTCATCTGTAGTCTCTGTATTAGGTTTCTTTCCATATTCAGCTCCACAGTATCATACATATTTACTGTCTGACGGTTTTACACCCCTAACTTGAAACTATTCCTTCCTAATTTGTAAACACAGATGAATGAAAGTGACTTCAGTGTCTTGGTAGTGACAGAAGACTCATCTATTGTCTTGAATCAACTGCGTTTGGATGAAGAAGGAACATACCGCTGCTCCCTGCAAGCCCAAAATGGGACCATCTTCTATCAAGCCACTTTCCCACTCACCGGTACACATACATCCAGCCATCCATTAACTCATCTATTTTATTCTGCTTTTCCAGTTTAGGGGCTCGCCAGGTGCTGGAGCCTATCCCAGCAGTTAGATATGCTGTATTAAATAGAACTGACCATTAAGTACATTCTGAGTTGCTAAACTTGAATTAATATACATCTAGTTCTAATAATTTACACAGAATGTTGTTGGCTGTTGTCTCTTACCTCAGTAAATGTCACAGATTTTAGTATTCTGGTCTGAGGGCTGCTAAAAATAAATTTAAAGGTCATTTAAGACACAACAAATAAAGAAGTAAATTATAAAAGAAACAACTTTACTGCATGTTCAGAAAAGTGCTAAAACTATCTGTATTTTGGGGCTTTTTTTAATTACACTTGTTTGTTGTTTCTGTAATATTCTTCTCTTTAATCTTGGGACTTCCTCGTATTTTTTTTTTACTGCATTCTTGTTTCTTTTTTTTTTCTTTATGGACTTCCACAGAATTGCAAAACGCTTTCATTCTTATACCACAGCAGTTTTTTGTGAAAATTCAGGTACAGTTTGGTACAGTAAAGTAGTGTTATTTGTCAATACACTTGAATTAACTGCTGATGCCATTTTTAATACTATAATACATTAGTGTAATGACACTTAGCAATGTAAATGTTTAAGTACACAAAAAGAACAAAGTAAGAAAATGTAAAATTGCAAAGTGATGGTTGGTACATAAATTAACAGACAAAAGCTGGCAAATCCAGCCGCCTTTACTGTAATTTCAAGGGAAATTTCTTCTTCTCCTCCTTCTTCACAGTCATATCGTCGCCTCACCAGACTCACTGGCCTTTAGTCACTCTGCCCTCCCTGCCTCATGGAGACAGCTACTCACCTTTTCAGCCTACGGAGGCCTTGCTTGTGCCACTCATCGCTGTGGTTACGGCTTTGACTCTGACAGCGAGCGTAGGACTCGCAGTTGTCCTGAGGTGAGACACAGCCAGTGGGTGGAGGGGAGAAAGAGGGGACAAGAGGTTTGCAGGAAGGGTGGAGGTGAAAAAGGTAGCACAGAACAGTCAGAGCACGACAAACTGAATAATGCAAGTCAAAGGGACTGGCCGTGCTCGAGTGCAGTTTGAGGACTGAATTATAATTTGTTAAGCGATCCCATGTGCAATATCAGTCTACGTAAATAAGGTCATTGTTTACATTTGAAGTGAATTACGCCGATAAGTTGTTTTCTCTGAAAGTGTCGTCACTTCTTCCAGGAAGTGATGACGGCACCTTAGCAGCAGGTGTTAACTTAGATTTCCACCTCAAGTTCTGCGTGGTAATGGGTAGTTCTGTCTTCACAATCTAAAAACAAAAAAGCAATTAAAAAAGAAACTAAATCGCTTCATGTGTAATCCTTTCTTGTAGCGTGATGATGAATCAGCAAAGAACAGCAACAGAACTGAGGAGAAGGAAGAAGGAGGAAAACGGGACCGAAAACATGATGTGATAACTGAACTCAGTACAGTAAAAACACACTTTAATAACAGGAAGGTTTTTCTTCACTTCAGGTTTGGCGTTTTGTTTTGCAGTGAAATAAATTTCCCAGCAGAAAGTGCCATGTCATTTCTAGAAATCACGTGGAAGTGAGAATACATTTTGGCGACATGCAAGTGAGGCCAAACATGACATGGGTGTCATGTTTGAAAGACGCGAAAAAGGAATCAAGCGAAGTGATGTCAGCCAAGAAACAAGTTTGCGGATTAACAAAACCAGACTATACAACACAGCTGAACTCAGAAATGCAGAAATTCCCCAGAAACCCCTCGACATTAAGCAACAGCTCACTGGAAGACAGTTATGTTTCTCTCGTTCCCCCTGAATGAAGCGATGTTGTTATCACGTGGGCGTTTATGAGAGGAATCAGGGATGAGATAAATCTCCCGGATTGCAGTGTTTTTCAGAGATTACTAACCACAGCCATCCAATTAATCCTGGATAATCCCCTTGTGAGGAAGGAGGGGGCTAAAGCCAGGAGCAGACGTTTTCATCAAAGATTCAACTAATGTTTAGTTACTCATCTGTTCATTCAGAAGTACACAATAAGGTCAAAAGCCCCCTTTTTTTTAGCATTTGCATTATTACTCATGTTTTAGTCATTCTGTTTTCTGCCACACTTGATGATATCAGCTGCTTTGGTTTCAAATATAGTCTGTTTACTCTTCACACAGGCTCGGTCATGATCTCAACGCCAGTGCTCGACGTCCGTCACGTATCATTTAGCTGCTTCTGACTGCCTTCTTGTCTTGTTGTGCGCATACGAAGGGATGTTGGTGTGAAACCAAATTTCCTGTGTAAAGGCGCTAAGGAATCATCAACAACAGCAGCAAATTCACACCTGTCTTTTGCCATTGTGTCACATGAGATCATGACTGGTAACAAAGAAAAGTAAGTGAAAGGTTTCAAAATGAAAGCAATCAGTTGATATTGTATGAGTCACTGCCAATTGGAAGTCACCGGTGAATCGTTGCTCAGGTTTTCAGGGTAATTCCTGATGAGCGTATTTTAATCACTGAAAGCTGGCTTGGGTTATGAGCAAAGGCAAATGAAACAAAGGTCGCAACAGTGTGAGGGGGTGTGTGCGCGGAGGCTGAAAAAGAGAGAGGCTGTGGTCTGTCTGGATAGTGACAGGATGTATGTGTGGTGTTGTTTCCTGTCTGGCTCACTGACATGGGGGCGAAAGCTGAAAAAAAATCTTTAAGACACCCTCACGCAGAGATAGTCGCGTCACAATCTTACAACTACGTGGGTTTATATGTGTGTGTTTTTAACCTAATATGCAGTCTGAGGCTACTGTAAATGCATGCTCAGCGACTTCACTGACAGCCATGATGAAGTGTGCAGTTTGAGTGTTTGTGTGCACATACTGCTGTGGACTGAAATTGCAGCCTCAGCAGGGAGAGGGAATGACAAAGTGTGAGCACTTCTGGAAGAGCAGCAGGCAGCCACAGGGGAGGGCGAAGAGGGAAGTAGGAACAAGAAGAAAGTGGAGTCAGAGGTTTGAGTGGGAGAGATCTGTGGGAAGGCAGACTGATTTTTAATGTGGGTTATGAGGAAACGAGGACAAAGACGTCAGATTACACCTCGTGATAAAAACCGTCCCACACTACACATAGAATATACTTTCACATCAGTGACCTATAGTTGTGGAATGACCTCAAGATTGTTGTCTTCACTGCCATAACAACTTTTATTGGAAAATAATTTAATAAAAGCATCAGAAAATACTCCTAAAACTTGGCTTTAGTGCTTGGGTGCTTATCAGTAGTTAAATATTCACAACTAAATATGTAAAATCCTATGATTAATTACTAGCTATTGTTTGTTATGAGGTTAATGTGTTTGAATGGTGTGATCAGATCTGACCAAAAGTGGCAAACACATTCACTTCTCATCATATTGACGTGTAGATATTAATAGATCTTGAGCCCACAATTACGCTCATGTACTTCAGACTGCTGAGATAATGACAAATACAGAACACAAAATCCAGAGTTCGTTTAGGTTCCCCCCCCCCAACACACAACATGAAGGAGGCTTTGAAGTCACCAACATGGTAACTTAACTGTAACCATTCACCATGAATACCATCAGTCTGCTGCTCAGTCCCCCAAACAAAGAGTTTGCACTGTGTGATATTTAAAATTTAACTTTAAAAGGAAAATAAATTGTTTTATATTTCAAATTGAGAGGTGGCACTTTTTTTCTATAGTAGTCTGAAAGGTTTCTGCTAAGACTTCCATCTAATTTGTGACTTCTCTTGTTGATCACAATGCTTTTAAGTTACTGTAAGTCTGACAATATGTCATTTTTTTAAAGATACAATACTGTGCAAAAGTCATGAATTATCTCTCATCTCTTCATGATTTGTTAGAAAAATTGGGAATGGGTTATTGAAACGTGCAAACATAAATCAAAAAAATGGACTGTTTTTTATGTAGTCTAGTCTCACTCATCGATTCACACACACACATTCATGCAGCATTTTATATATACCTAAGTGCTCTCTAACACTCACACACTCACACTCATACTTCATCATGTGGACTGGAGGAGTCTGAGATCAATCCCCCGACCTTCCAGTTGGTGGAGAACCCGTTCTAACCCCCAGGACACAAGGAGGACAATTTTGGCTTAAAAATGGTAAAATCCATATCCTCTTTCTTATAAGTTTCTGTTATTTATTTATGGAAAGTAAATAATAAATCTTCAAAAAATATATATTTTTCCAGCTCATGCATCAAAGATACACTTCATGACATACTGTAGTTGCTGTCTGCCATGCTTGACATGAACCTGTTACCACTACTCTGGAACCTGAAAAATATTGTTTAATAAATTGTTGACCCCAAAATAAGTTGTGCCAAAAATTGGTCCACCCCAAGGATTGGGTCCCTAGACACAAACGGAGTAATATAGTGTACGCGCTTAAGTGCCAGAAGGATTGCCATGATTTATACATCAGGGAAACCTGATGTAAAATCTAAAACCAAAGTGCCTAATGGCAAGACCTAAAGTTGTTGTTTTTTTGCTGAGTTTCCTGTTATGTGTAGACATAATACGGGTCTACATATCCTTTGAGTCAGGTGCCTTTTGTGCTTGAATGATTCATAGGTGAATGTCAAGCCGTTCAGGTATAAGGACATAAAAAAGAAGTGAAAAAAGCAGCCAATGTTCAAAGAAAAACTTTGAAAGGCCTCCAGAAAGTCTTCCGAACCAGCCCACTACACCACTTTAAAGCATTATTACATTATTACAAGAATTTGTTATTACATTGCTTCAAGAAATTCTAACTCCCTGGGAGCAAAGCAGTTTTATATAATGAGGGCAGACTTGAAACTTGTGGATAGTCCTGTATTTTCTGAGTAAAAGTTTCTCGTAACTGAAGTGCATCATGTCTTTTCCTTTGTGTCATTCCATCCACTGCCATTCACCTATTAAAAATTTATTGTGTGCTATTTTGTGATGAATATGGTTAGTGCTTATTCAGAGTTAATCCCACATGTTTCTCATTGCACACCACAGACGCAGCTAAAATAAATGCAGTTTGAGGAAACTACCTGACCTTTTAAAATGCAGTTGCGAATTTCTCATAAACATTTACTTCTTGTATCATACTTGAAATAAAACACACTGGACATCAGAAGTGGATAGGTCTGTGTTTAATAACCTACTTTTCCCAATGCCCCTTTGCAAAAAAAGAAATCCATGCACTGTAATCCATAACTACCACATGCCTGAATCATAATTAATTAATAACATGTCTGTGCTTTTCGTGTCTGCAGTGCAGCAGAGATTTTAGTTATGCTTTTTTAAATACTCCACAGAGCAGCTTTAAATTTTCCAGCAGAATAAAAACATTGTCAGTGCTGACATTTTATGTTTGCAGCATGGACCTACAACAGAAAAACACGGTGGTGCGGGATTAATCTACGCCGAAAAAAAAAAACACTCAGCCTTCAGTCTTTCCGCTGAAGGCAGGCGTTTCGACCGGGTAGGGAGGGTTTTAGCTCTCAGTATAACGTCATTCGACATAAAAACACGGGATAACCCCAAACTCCGACCACGTGCGCGGTAGGAAAATGAGGCTTGACGTCAGTGTCCATATGAGGAGTGCCGGCCAGACCAAATATGGTCGTTCCGCCTCTGACGTTGTTCCTACTGTGGAAAATAGGCGGGGTGGCGCCGACCCCGCCTACCGCGCAGCCGTTATCAATGAACAAGTGAAACTATGAACCTAGAGCCGATTGTAACCGGCCTGCAGGAGAGTTCAACAAGAACTCACAATATTAAGTCTTTTACTTTGAAATTTTTTTTGCATCTAAAATTGATACAACTTATATATTATAATTTTAGGGATTTTCTTTTTACCTGTCTAAACTGACTATTTTGTACAATTTATTATTTTTAACTTAACTTTCAACTACTTTTCAACAATGAATCCAATCAACGAACCTTTGGAAATAACTGGCAACGAGTTGGTTCACATACTTAGGACTCCCCGGGAACAGTACACCTCTGCAGGGTGCGTGGTGCTGGACTGCAGACCGTTTCTCGACTTTTCCTTGGCGCACATCTGCGAGTCCCGAAACGTGAACTGGAACGCCATGCTGCGTCGTAGATCCAAGAGTTCAGTGGTGGCTCTGGAGTGGCTCATTCCGGACAAGACGCTCAGGGCCCGGCTCCAGAGTGGGGAGTTCTCCCCAGTGGTTGTGGTGGATGAGAGAAGCAGCTCCATGGCCGAGTTGAAGGCGGAGAGCGTGTCCCAGATGCTGCTCACCGCCCTGCAAAACGAAGTTCACACGCAGATCTGCTTTCTGCAAGGTAAAAAGCATCACACGGTTTAAATCAATTTAAAAGCATATATATTTATTTTTAAATAGTTTAATAAAATTGTTGTTGACGTGTTTTTTAATGAATTACTAAGTCGTTAACGATCATCCATGCAATCATGATCGATTTGATCGAAAAGTGTTTCGATGCAACCAA